TGGGCAGAAGGGAAAGCAACAGCGGCGGGTGCCAAAGGTGTCTGCAGCAAAGGTGGGAGTAGGGAGCTCTCTGCGCTTCGCCATGATCACCCGTTAGGAGCGGCTATTGGCAAGGATGCAAAGGGGGGAATTAAGTCACCCCCTGAAAAGACGGCCTAGCCGTTTTTTCGGGGCTCAAAAAAAAATAAGGCCCGGCCTTATTATGTGAGAAACACGGTAGTTGGTATCAGATAATTGGCTGCTAATTCTGAGAGGACTGCAGCGTTAAATGAGAAATATAGACAGCAATTGTAGTAAGGCACAAAACTTGTCTAAGCTGATGTCAAAAGTTTTATATTAGTACTAAAATATTTACTCCTCCCCTTCCATACCATCAATCCCCATTAATCAGTAAGAATATTTGATTAATGAATAAAACTTCAAAAGTGATTACTTTTGCTTAATCATTTTATCTGAATTTTAATCTGGGAAATATTAAATGGATTGAAGAAAGCACATCTCCTTTGTTTTGAATTTCTGGAATCCAAGAAGGTTGACAAGCACTTCCCATTTTTCCTTCAGTCTCTGCCATTATTTTTTTCTTTTATCTCACAGGAACTGCCAAGTTGGCCTGTACATCTGTCTCCTTATACCTGGTTTTTCTTGCTGGCTTGGCCTTTTGTTGTCCAGCAGCTACTTTGGTACTTCCAGAGACAGAAGCGATGAATTTCTTATTGTCGTTTAATAAAAGTAAGGGAGAAAAACTTCTGGAAATGCCTCAAAAGTTGGGTTTGAACTTCAAACATTAGACTCCTACCAACATTTACCATGCTTTTTCATATTCATCAATCTATTGTGCTACAATCCTGTGGTTCAGAATGAAAGATATTTAATACACTTTGATTTTCTACTAACTAAATGTAAAATAAAGATAAAGGTGAGTACAAAAGAAAATTTAAGTATGGAGTTCTTATTCAGTCAGCATGAAGAAAGGTGCAAAAGAACAATGATGCTTTAAGGCAGGGATCCCCAACCTTTTCGACGCCGCGGCCCGGTTCCGGCGTCAGCTGGGCGCCGCCATCTTTTTTTGACGAAAAATCACTTCCGGTGACGTCACCGGAAGTGATTTTTCGTCAAAAAAAAATGGCGGCGCCCAGCAACCAGCGGCCCGGTAAGGCTTGTTCCGCGGCCCGGTACCGGTCCGCGGACCGGCGGTTGGGGACCCCTGCTTTAAGGGACAACATATATCCTGATAAGCCAATGGACTTTAACTTTGTGATGATTTTCTAAAAAAGGAACCTTTAATTCTGCTTTGATTCGGAACCTGAATGCATGGGAATGGTAAACAAACTTTTTACTAGTCCAGGAAAAGAATATTTCAGCTACCAGTTCCCCAATATGTAAGGAGAAATGAATGTGGAAATGTCTTTTTTTCTCCCAGACAAAAAAATCATTACAGCTTAAAACCATTACAGCTGTGAAAAATAGTTTTGTACTAAATAAAGAAACTGCAGTCTCCTTCTTTGTCTATAATACATACTTGTTTAAGAAAAACTGGTTAAAAATAATTCCTAAGAAGAGATTTCTGTTCATTTGCCTATGCTTCCTCTTTCAACCAGGGAATCAAAAATTGGGAATGTTGGTCAAGCGGTCAGTTCAAGGACCTAAGGTGAGGATCATGCTATTTTGAAAAGATTACATAATGGAGGGAGTCTTTCACAGTTACGATTATCAGGTTCTTACCATTGATTGTAGTAACAAGAGATTGACAACTTGACATGGTAATCATTAATCTCATATCTCAACTTAAAATCAGAGGCCAAAAAATCCCTCTGAGAATGAACAGTGATGCCTTTCCCTCAATACTGAAGTTCCTTACTATCTGTCTCTTCATTTTGGAAGCCATGCATATAGTTAACATAAAAATATCTGCATCCAGTTCTGAGGATTACAATAAGATTGCCAACAAAATGAAATATATTCAGGACACCAGAAAGTGAGAGATCCACTCAAATCCAGTAAGGCAAATCTGGGGGAGTTATTTGGTATATCTCGCCTGAAAAAGAAAATATTAAAAACCTCATATAGCTGAAGAAACACATTTATCTTAATGTTGCTCAAGAGGATTGGACCTGTACCAACTATTTCAAATTATAAGAAAAGATTCTGAGTAAATATCAGGAGCTAAGTACGGCATTGTACAAGTAGCCTTCCCCCCACCACTTCCAAACAACTCTAAATGCCACTACCATCTCCAGAGATTACCTCAGATTTCTGAATAGTAAATCTGAGTTGAACCATTTTGTTTGAAACTCATAGTTAATAGCAGTGTAGGGCAACAAGTGTTCTTGTGCTGCAAGCAGCCTGTTTCCTTTTTTTTCAGCCCCCAGAATACAGTTTCCCTGTGATGTTATTTTTAGAATAGAATAGAATTCTTTATTGGCCAAGTGTGATTGGACACACAAGGAATTTGAATTTGTCTTTGGTGCAGATGCTCTCAGTGTTGTCGGTTAGCAATTTTAGGAATAATTTCTAAAATATTATTTTTTTTCAATTACCCCATAATTTTTTTAAATTACCCCAACCTGGGAAAAAATGAAAAAAGAACCCAATGTTATCACATGTTCCCTATGTTATATATTGTTAAATCAATCACCTCTGATTTATGGCTTCGCATGCTATAATTAATCACTTTTAACTTAGAAAAGAATTAGTTGATTTGTTTATGGCAGGAGAGCTGCACTTTTATTATTAACATTTCAGGGTCATCTAATCATAGAGGTATTTGGCAAATCATGCACTAATGTATAAAAATGGGCAGAACTGAAATGTTTTGCCCTTCTATGCAGGTTTCAAGGTAGATTTTGACTAAAATGCATGCTATAAAGTTTAGCAGTACCAAAAGATACAAAGGTTGTGCTCTTTTGTGGTTATATTTCAGCAATATGATATTTGGGCAGCTCACCACTAATTTCCAGACATTTGCAAACCCACTTCAAGTGTATAATCATGCATGGCCCTTGCGATCTGATTCTCCAATAAACTTGCAGAAAATGGTTTGGAATGTTTTCAGAAATTAGTCATCTACAAACTGAAGGTGTGGTGACAATGAACAAACAAATATGAGCAATGCCATTGCCCCTGTCTAAAGTCAAATAGGAAATGAACACATGTTTTTTCACATTTAAGCTACATACAACATGGGTGCTACCATTGTGTAGGCATCCAGGTGTAGGTGCTCTCCCTTTGCATCCATCAGATTTCTTACCATTCCTGACTTTAAAAAATATATAAACGTCTTTTAAAATAAAATATATTAGCATTCTGCAAAACGAAGGAGTACCACTCTTCAGCATTAACTTTCTTTTTAAGAATATCTTTAGGCAAATAGGCATTCTTCAAAATAAAATAAAATGGAAGAAAGAGACAAAACTGAAAAAGCATGGAACATTCTGAGAAACTAGAATAATACAGGTAGTCCTTGAGTTACTAATGTAATGTAATGAAAACAAATCACCTGATGAATTACATCCCAGAGTTTTAAAGGAGCTGGCAGAAGTCATCTCAGAACTACTGCACCATATCTTTCAAAAATCCTGGAGCACCGGGGAACTACCAGAGGACTGGAAAAGAGCTGATGTGGTTCCCATCTTCAAAAAAGGAAAAAAAACAGACCCAGGAAACTACAGACCAATCAGCCTAACATCAATACCCGGGAAGATTCTGGAAAAGATAATAAAAAAATAGATCTGCCAACATCTAGAAACAAGTAAAGTAATAACTAGCAATCAGCATGGGTTTGTTAAAAACAGATCATGCCAAACCAATCTTATTTCATTCTTCAACACAGTGACTAAATTAGTAGACCAGCAAAATACTGTGGACATGATATATTTAGATTTCAGCAAGGCATTCGACAAAGTAGACCACAACCTACTTCTTAGTAAGCTAGAAAAAAGTGGAATAGATAGCATCACCACTAGATGGACTCGCAACTGGCTGGCGAACCGTACTCAACAAGTAGTCCTTAATGGGTCTAAGTCTACATGGAGGGAAGTAAGCAGTGGGGTGTCACAAGGTTCTGTCTTAGTACTCTTCAATATCTTCATTAACGACTTAGATGAGGGAATAGAAGGGGAACTTACCAAATTTGCAGATGATACTAAGCTGGCAGGAATAGCTAACTCCCAAGAAGATAGGCTCAAGATCCAGATGGATCTTGACAGACTAGAACACTGGGCCATATCTAATAAAATGAAATTAAATATAGAGAAAAGTAAAGTCCTACACTTAGGCAAGAAAAACCCAAAGTACACATATAGACTGGCTGAAACCAGGCTCAATAGCAGTAACTGTGAGAGGGATCTTGGAGTCCTAGTGGACAACCAGCTAAATATGAGCCAGCAGTGTGCAGCAGCAGCCAAAAAAGCTAATGCAATCCTAAGTTGTATTAACAGGGATACAATCAAGATCAAGGGAAGTACTAATACCACCCTATAAAGCGTTAGTAAGAGCACACCTAGAGTACTGCATTTAGTTTTGTTCACCACATTATAAAAAAGATGTTGAGACTCTAGAAAAAGTACAGAGAAGAGCAACCAGGATGATTAGGGGGCTGGAAGCTAAAACATACAATGAACGGTTGCAGGAACTGGGCTTGGCTAGTCTAGTAAAGAGAAGGACCAGGGGAGACATGATAGCGGTCTTCCAATATTTGAGGGGCTGCCACAGGGAGGAAGGGGTCATGCTATTTTCCAAAGCGCCTGTAGGCCAGACAAGAATAATGGATGGAAACTGAACAAGGAGAGATTTAACCTGGAAATAAGGAGAAACTTTCTGACGGTGAGAACAATCAACCAATGGAATAGCTTGCCCTCGGAAGTTGTGGGAGCGCCATCACTTGAGACTTTCAAGAAGAGATTGGACTGCCATTTGTCAGAAATGGTGTAGGATCTCCTGCTTGTGCAGGGGGTTGGACTAGATGACTTACAAGGTCCCTTCCAACTCTGATTATCTGTTATCTGTTAATGGAGCCCGCCCATTCCATTTGTACCCCGAGGATTGATGGGAGTGAATCTTGCACCGTGAATGGGATCCTGCCCTCATTTTGCCCACGCATTCACTAATCAAATGCACTGTTCATTAAGTGCACATAAGGTACAGTATCTCGGGATGGGGAAGGCCATTGGGGGGGGGGGGGGGGGGGTGAAACAAGCCACCTGCTTAAGACCACACAAGGCCTCCCAGAGCCACTGAACTCCCAGAGTTATGGGGAGCCACTTGCTCCCCATAACTGCTTTCCCTTCACTCAACCTTACCATGCAAAGATGTAGCAAGCTGTCTCCTCTCTAGCCTTTCATCTGTGCACACCCCTCTAGAGCTCTATTTGGGGCTGCAAAGTGCCAGACAAGACTGCCCATACCAAAATGGAGCTTCAGAGTGGTGCACCCACCCCTCTGGAGCTCCATTTTGGGCTGCAAATGCCAGATGAAGCCTACACACAGAAAAACAGAGCTGCAGAGCTCCATTTTGGGCTGCAAAGACTTTTTGCAAAGATGGCAAAAGGCTTTGCAAACAGAGGGAAAGTTTCGATGTTTCAGGCCTTTCCTCCATTTGCAAAGCCTTTTGCTGCAGGCCTCATGCAGGCCTCCATTTGCAGAGGAGAGAGGCCTAAAGTACTGTGATTCTGGTAAAATGAGGACCCAAATTGTTGGGGGCAATATGCTGACTCTGTAAACCACTTAGAGAGGTCTGTAAAGCACTGCAAAGCGGTATATAAATCTAAGTGCTATTGCTTTTGCTATTAGCATTTCTCACTGGAGAAGCAGAATTGGAACAGGAAGTAATCTGTAGTAAATATATTTATATTAAAGAGCCAGTTTGATATAATAGTTAAGATACCAGGCTAGAAACTGGGAGACCATGAGTTTTAGTTCCACCTAAGACACAAAGCC